AATTAAATTTTCCTTTAACTTAAAGTGGAACCTAACGGGAAAAAAAACTTTTCGTTTATGTTCGACATAAACATCCGTTCAATTCGAAACTAATCCCACATTCCAACGCTAAAGTTTATAGTTAACATGGGCCCGGGAACAACTCTGACCCATCTGCATACCTTTTACCTCACAACAATTGGTCACATGACCATTCTCCCACGCCGAACTTATAAAAACCCCTTCCTTCCCCTTCTCGGGGGAGTCGTTCATCTGCCGTCACTTTTACAACTGTGTCCTACGAATATTGTGTCCTATTAATATACTGCGTCCTATCGATATTGTGTCCTGAAGAAAAATTATTATCCTAATCCTACCAACTCGTTGGATATGAAAACCTTTTTCCTTAAGAATATTAAAAGACATAAAGAGGTATGGAACTTATTTTTGTGAACTCTCTCTCGGTCTTCCGCGTTTCAGGGACTCAGATTTTCCCTTTTGAACTAGGTTATTGTAATCTCTATGTAGCTAATAAATCGTTGTTATCTTGTTAAATTGGTGTCCTCGTTTGCTCGTGTATCGCCTGTCATCTTACCGACGCACTCCTCCCTCCGCCACTCGACCCGAAACATTTAATCCCGTTACCGCGGGAAAGATAAAATTTTAATCCATCCTGACCAGTGAGAAGGGTTTAACAACCTGTTGCCGGATCGGGAGACCTACACCCTCCCCGGCGGTTCACATAAATAAAGATGAGAAAACCCGCCAAGTGTCTTAATTTATAGCACTTTATTGTGTTAGAAGCATAAACTTTTTAACAATTCAATGTACAAAGTATTCTCTGCATTAATGAATATATTATTTTGACAATTCATTATTCACTATTAAATTTTCCCTGAAGTTTGAACTATATATTCATTCAATTACTTAATCAAATGTAATAATCCTATGTCATTCTATTTCTTTCTGATTGATGATTACTTCGTTTTTGAATTCAATCATTGTTGACCTCTACCATGTTAGATTATTATATATATAATATTTAAATGATTAATGATTAATTTATAATGCATATTATTAACAATATAATGTTTAATATTTTATAACATGTAATGCATATTCTTTTATCCAAAATTATATACTGTAGTTTGTTACAGGAAAGCATTCGTGTTAATAACAATA